TGAGTTTTAGGTTACGTTCTGAATTTTGACTAGGTTTTTAAGTTAAAAGTTTCCTTTAACAAAATTAAAAGTCCATCATACTGCTTACCATGCTTCCATATAATCCGTAGACATACGTAGAAAGAATGGGTCTTGTAGTCGAGTCAGCGATGTCGCTCCTCAAGTAGTTCTGGCTGTTCTGAGGCAGAGTTATCGTGGAAAAATACTGGCGTAACGTTCGACAAACTTCGACAGGATAGTCAGACGGAATGCAAGGCTCAGCTGATAACAATAGGTTGGAGCGTGCATCCAACAATAGAGAGAGATATAGTTGTCCGGTGGCCAGCCGTACAACACTCACAGCCTTTAAAATATTCTATCTGTCTGTCTAAATGTTACAACTTAGCTAAAATATTCGCCCAATCCAATGATTCGAGGTGTATTACTAAACCAAGGATTATGAACACCTCACTATTCTCCAGTGGTTGTAGTATATATACTACAATTTTAGTATATATACAGTTCGCTACAAACACACAGGTCACCAATTATTTGCCACACAGGACGGGAATCGAACCCGATCCGACGAATGCCACTGGCCAAGTGACACACGTCTTAGCCTTCTCGGCTATCTGTGCTTGAAGACTGAGGAGTCAAAAACCGGTATTTAAGCTGACGCGAACGATTGTGGACAGATAGCGCTACAGCAGGTTGTTCAATGCATTACTAGGTAGCAGCACTAGTTAGTCACGGACTATTTAGATGATATTTTCAGTTGAACCACAACAGTGATCACAATTTGTGTTACTGAGGCTTTGCTGCAAAAAATTATTTTCCCTAAAATGGCTATATTACAATAACCTTATCCAACTAAATCAAGGTTAAATTCAATATTACATTTTAAACTAGATGTCTTTCGATTTTACGAGATTTTGGTTTCAAACCATGCTATCAGAACATTACAATTTATAAGAAAACTTGGAAATTTACAACAAAAACTAAGTTTTATTTAATGTTTACTACAAATACCAGAACTTATCTTTGTTATATAAATTAATTGTCATATTATTTAAAATTAGCATAATTAATAAAAATAGTGACATTACTGTTAAAATTCAACAACAGGTAATGGAGTTGAAAGGCAAACAAAAAAGTCTTACGAAATACAAATTATTGGCCTAGCACTGAAAGGCAAACCGGTCATTCGCTGGGCAAGTCACCCTATAAAGAGTTACAACACAAGTAAAATTAAATGCAAATGGACCATCACAATTATTCAAGAATCAAGATCAAGAAGTTATTCATCACAATTAATAATTGTAATTACCATGACAAGTCAATGTTTTTAAACTGTAAATCAATGAGCCGTATTAATAAAAAGAAGGATATGCTCAAAAGGAAAAGGTATGAAGCAAAAGCATTTGCTTCTAGTAAAAGGTAAAAGTAAAAGCATATCCTTCAAACCGTATTAATAATGATTACCTTTTACTTCCGAGCAAATCCTTCTGCTCGGAAGTAAATGGTTCTTTAGGAACATCAAATGTTACACGTCTGATCCTGTCTATTTTTCTCTACTGATACCCCTCGAAGGCTGTGCCAACTCCGTCTAATGGTTTTGCATCCGGCTTTGAATTTAATCATCACAAACTAAATTATAAAATCTAGAGTATGTGGGCCGGAATTTTACCCCCAGAATCTTAACCCCTTTCTAGACATAGAATTGGGTTGATGATAATAGTTAGTCAGGTACATAAATTTGTTTATAGAAATCATGATATATGCTTTGTAGATAGCATGCAGTACTGTATAACCACAGGAACCCTCGCCGCAGCTGCAGACTAAATAAATTTCCTTTTACCTGCCTGGATTTCTTCTAAAATATTCCCTGAAAATTGTCAGATTTATTTCCTATTTAAATTATATTAATTTTAATGAGTACTTAGGTTTGCTGATTCAAGGAAGGTATTGAGGTGTGTTTTTATTGAAATGTTGATAGCTTAGTAGGAGGTAAACAAATTACTCCCGACACAGCAAACCTGCAGACTAAGTAAATTTCCATTTGCCTGATTGGATGTACACTAAAATGTCTCCAATATCACATTCATTCCCTATTTAAAAAGCGTTAGTTTAACTGAGTACTTAGGTTAACTGCTACAGGGAGGGTAAAAAGGTGTTTTTTTTTGTAAAATGTAATAGTTTAGTATGAAATGAATGCAAATTTGATCAAAAAATGCTCATAAACAAGAAAACTACAACAGTTTAAAAATTTCTCCATAAAAATAACATGGAAATTTTAAATTTACAATTTTTTTGAAATTTCTCCGTAGCCATTAGGCGCATAACATCGCTTCGATATACTAAATTAATAGTTTTTTTAAACTCTACGAAATGGCTTGGAAAGAAGTTGCTAAATTCTATGTTTTAGGTAAAAAATGTTAAAATCCAATTACCCCATAAAACCGCCCATAAACCCCCGTTTCCATATCCTATTATGCTGATTCGCGAATCCCTTAGAATAAACGTAGGTTTACACGTTTGCACCAAATTTAATCAAAATCGGATCACCTTTGCTCGAGTTATCGTGCTAACGGGCACACATATATATGAATTTGAACGGAGGAGGTTTTTGGCCTCTGGGGACCTGAAAACGGAAAAGTAAATGGGTCATGGGTCTAGGTCTTACCATGAGACCTACGAAATAGCTTTTTCCCTATTTAGGAAATTCGCTAAAATTTAGTACCACACTGTAAAACCACCACACACCTTTTACTTAAACGTATAATCTGCTACTGATCAGATGCATCATTTTTGAAGGATTTACTTCAAAGAAAAAGTAAATGGTCAGTTTTATTAATAACCATTTACTTAAGTCATGAGCAAAACCTCAACGTTCTATGGATTACCTTTTCCTTATAAAGTAAAAGGTTTTGCTTGAGTTTTTATTAATACAGATAGAAGGATTTCCTCGAATTTTCGCAAGTAAAAGGTTTACCTCTTCTTTATTAATACGGCTCAATGTTTTTGAAACTGAAGTGTCTTTTTCTTTGAAGGAAGGGCAGTAGGATGTAAACAAACCATAAATCACTGTCACCAGCCAGGCCTTGGCCCACTCAAGGTCATAGACCCGCCCCTCTTACCCCGTTTGTAATACAACGCTCCAATTGCAGACAAAATTGTGTTACGAAACATGTAAGTAAGGACAAAGAGATATTTCTTTATTCAAAAACAGAAAACTGTAACTTCAAAGAAATTAATTCACGGTAGTTTGTGTCTTGTAAATATTTTATTTGATCTTAAAGACTGTAGATTTTATTTGCATTGACGTGTGTCATTGTGTTCAAAAACGTGTGTTATTCATTGTGTTATTCCTATCAAATATAACATTCAGTTATGTCTTAATGTACTATAAATATGTTAATTACCATAATTTAATACTGTCATAATTAATTATTTATATTGATTTACAAAGAGATAAAACATAAGCGTACAGGCATTTGTAACCAATTAAAACTAATGCAATATTGGAAGTTTTGTAAAAAAAATCATACCATGAAATAATATGTTTAACACTACAGGTAATGTAATCTCTAACAGTATTAGTTATAACTCTTTAATATATAGTTTATACTGCATAAACACCTCATCCGTACCTTACTGTGGGTCGATCACTTCACTTGTGGCTATCAGGTTGCACGGTGCGTCGGCGACAGCGTCACCGAGGCTCGGACTCCCGTCTAGTTGGGCCGTTCCCTGCCCATGGTTATATCGGATTCCTAGACTTATGTATGTTATTATATGTTACTTATGTGTTCAGAAAGACATACTCTACAACCTTTAGAGGAAGTGTTTCATTTTTCCTACAAATAAAAAAACTACTGTAGAAAAACTAAAATAGTAGCGTAAAAATGTTTTCAATTTCATAATTTATTATTAAATTTTGAAGAAAATATTAGATTTATCGCAAAAGTGTAAAGGAACTTTATTTTGGAAAATTTAATAAGAAATACAACAAGCTGAAGATTATTTAACACTTATACTGAAACCCCGGTCTGACAGACCCACAGGAATTTTCACAAACACATGTTGGTTACACTGTTTACTTGGGGGATTCCATTCCCCCAATACCTTCCCCCATTTTCCTCCCCTACCTGTTGATATATTTTTTGTTCATTTTGTGGGTGCCGTGACCTTGACAGGTTGTCGGTTGTCTGTTCATAACATGCCTGGCTCAGAAGCCCAGCATTAGTGTATTTTAAAGCGGGGTCTCACTGGCCCAGGGTTTCGGTTTGTGTGTTAAATCGAATGAGCCATATCGGGTATATGCGTAATTTAGTAAACATTGCAATTCCTGACTTTGAGAGTGGTGGGGGGGAAAGCACCTGGGGGATTTTAGGGGACTTTTGGTAAAATTTACATCTTTATGTGTACTATCCAGTGGTATAGAGTTTTGCTTGTCACAAATTTGTTCCGACACAAAACCTTTATTGACTGGGCAATGTCTGTCTGCCAGTGTCAAGGCCAAGTGGAAAATAATAGACTGAATGTGAGGTTAGTTGGTACTCTTACTTTTCCAGACGTTTAATTCTTTTCCCATTGATTTAAAAGTGATACATTGAGTTATTTTGCGTTTGTCGTCAGTAGAATTGTTAGGTATAGTTTCAATTATTATTATTAGTGGGAGCTGTAATTCAAATATACCTTTACATTGGTATTGCATCATAAGCTAAGCTGCATATTTTGATTTTGATTAGTCGATATCGACTTACGGTATATCTGGAAAAAGTATAAAAAGTATATATAAGTATAAGTATCAGTCTAATCAGTCTAATATAAAGTCAGGGAATTTTATTTTTCTAGTTAAGTACCAACCCCTGTCGATACTGTAATTCAAAATTTCCCCGTTCCCCTTGGGATTTAATTTATTGAGGTTCTACTGTATTTTATTTATTACACATTTAAGGTGGTTATGGCAGAGACTGGCACAATGGTTGTCTAAAGTGGTTGCATGTCTGGTGTGACAGGTGACAAACTGATAAGAAAAGCAGGAACAGTTGAGGCAGGGTCAAGTACTGTGCTTCCACGTGGGATAGTTCAACTGGCTGGCCATCTGGACAAGGATCCTGATCCTCAATTCTCTGGGGTAAGTTTAACCATCAACTTGCTACATATAATATGTAAATTGCATAGCGTAAGTAGTTTTTAATGTTTGTGTGAATGACTACAAATGTTTTTTGACTAGTATAAATTTATTCCGTTTTTCGTAGGGATGGAGGATATTGGATTTTAAGTTTGAGACGAGACGGGATTTTTTATTTCCCATGAAATTTCGAGATGAGATCGAGATGAGATTTTTCTTCTCATACGTAACGGGAAATGCACGTTCGACACTTTAACCTGATTATACAGGGTGATTGATATAAGTGTGCCAGCCGTTTTATTTGAAAACTATAAGAGATATCAAAAAAAGTTAAATAAGAAGTGCCTTGGATTTTTTATTTAAAAAATTGTAGTCAAGTCAAAAAAATTATTTTAGCCATCATTTTTCCAATATGGCCGCCAACTTTGATTTTTCTTAAGGAACACTCTGTATTTTATGATGTATTCTGGTAGAAAATGTAATTTTAAGACGATTTTATTCTCGTGATTTTTTTCATAAACCTAACCAGCACATTTAACACAATTAAACGAACAACAGTAACTGTTAAGGAATTATGTGACACGACCGGGATGGATGCAAGGTTCTAAAATGAAAATAATCTTTGAAAGCTGAAAGGTATTGCGATATTAGTTTTACCTCGGAAACAAGTTTTGAACCCTACTAAAATGTGCAATTTGTGCAAACGTGCACTCGTATATTAAATGAAACAATAGAATCCCTTTGAAAAATTGTGTAAATCAATTCCTAGTATAGTGGTGTTTAGAAACAGTTTAAAATATTGATGCTCAAACGACTACTGACTTATCATTTGCCAGTGGAGAATCCGCTTTTAGCGAATAGTAACTAGATGGAGGGGCAAGATTGGATGTTAAAATGACAAATGTAAAGAGCATACCAAATGTTCCTAAAGTTTGATCTGATCATGATTACTAAGTGAGCTGGAAGTTAAGTTGACAGTCCAGCTGCTACAACTTTTTATTTTAAGTGTTTAGATAACTAGAATATTAATATGAAGTTTTGAAATAGGTTTATAACTGGTATTATACTGGAGGGTCTTTGGCAACCTTGGCGAATAATGAAGAAAACTACCTGTTTTATCCAAGAGAATCAAACATATGTAAGTGACAACATAACTTAATAATTTGTATTATGAGTTTATATGTGGTTTTGTTGTCAGTAGATGTTTTAAAATGTTTTATCTTTTTTTACTTTTATTGGATTTTAAAGATAACCACCATGGACATAAAAACAATTAACAAGATTTTACAGTTATTCCATTACTAGCTGATGTACCCGTGCTTTGCAACGGGAAGAGGACACAAAATAGAAACATTTTAATCTTTACATATGTTGCATATAAAAGTTACACATCCACCACACTTTTAGAAACAAAATTCAACTTTTGTAGCCTTAATAGAAACGTTTAAGTTATGACTTTTAAATCTGGTAAGTAGTGGATACCACCATTTTGGTTTTGATTAATTTTAAATCTCGTGTAGGCTGATATGAGAAAAAATGACCAAATCTTCGAATAAAACTTTGACATACATTACCTTCATCTCCCTTAGTTACATATCTTTTAATTTATTATTGACATTTTAAATATCAATTTTGAAGTTGCAAAAATACTAATCATTATAATTTAAATGTACATTTGTTTTTATTTCACTCTTCTTTATATTAAATCACAAATACTTCTATCTTCAGTTTCTTCACTCACAATAAATCATTAGCAAAACAATGGCAAAACTAAGTCAGCTGTTATAAACTTTAGAAATATTGCTGTGCCTTGTCAATACAGTCTTTTGAAATATTAAAGAAACTATATCTATAGGTACTATACAAAATTTTAAACAAATAGTTTAGCATTAAAGACAGCAGACAAAACTAATATGATTATCAAAGCATCAAGGAAGGAAATGAAGAAGGGTCAAATAATTTAAAGACAATTTTTCCTTAAGCGAAAACTTTAATTTCATTTAAAATATAATATTAATATGACTTTTTGCCACTAAAGCTACATAATTTTGTAAGAATTATATTTATATATAATATATATGTAATAACGTCATATACATATCTAACGCACAGATTTTTTTTTCATTTCAGAGCTTATAGTAGATCATAACCAACATCATGTAGTCCAGAAATTAATGTTAATTAATAATTTACCATCATTTCCATGAGTAACGAGTAAATGCATGTGTTAAAGAAATAAATGGATTGAATGACATGAAAAATTTAAAAAGACTGTAAAATGACAACGTGATCATTAATGTATCTAACATCTTATTAAAAAGTAGGATATCCATTGGATGTCCTCACGATATCCACGAAATCCTGTAGGAAATCGTGGATAGCCCTGAGATATCCCGTAATCTCCCGGGAAATCCAGGATGTCCCACGGACATCCCAAATGTCCCGGGTTATTGCGGGATATCTCTAGGATATCCTACTAATCCCGGGATTTGGATAGGATATGTGGGACTTTAATAGGATATCCTGGGGACGTCGTGAGCTGTGTGGGGACTAAAAACTGTAATAGCAAATACAGTATATGTTCAGGGTGTCTACCAACCGGGAAATCCGGGAAAACCGGGAATTGTACTTAATATTTTACTGGCCATGAAATGTACGGGAATTGTCCTTAAATGCCAGACTATGTCCTTTAATGGGCCATAATTTTATTGATCGCTAGTTGGTTAGGAGCACATAAATGGTTTATCAGATGTTTGTTTACATTTTCATAATTTATTACTAGAGTTATTATGCAATAAAAATCCCATTAGCAATCTCAAACCCAATAATATTTTATCATGACAATCAAGTGTCAAGTCAAGTACTTCCAAGAACTGTTGACTCAGTTAGCTTAAAAGTTGTATCACTTTTATTCCTTTACAACTTCTTTTTTTATTACTAGGGTAATTATTATGAGATCCCAAACCTATTTTATCATGAAAATAATAGCTTTACAATGGCTGTTAAATTTCACTTCTTACTTGTACTTTGGCTTGAAGATTCAATTTGCCGCGGCCATTGCCTAGTGCCATAAAACTGTTTATGGTTTCATATTAAACATGTAAATAATCTACAGTCTTGTTTTGTAAGTTAACCCCTTTTTTATGGATATTTTATCTTTTAATTGACAAAACCACAAGCAATGTTGTTTGCATTAATGTTTTATCACTATGTAGGCCTGCTTGGTTTCAAATTATGTCATTGCATTTTCTGTATCTTTGTCTTATATTGTTGGCTATTCAGGTTTCAATGGTTTTTGTTTCCCATATTTATTTATTGAGTTGTATGCTTTAAGCAATCTAAATCTTATGAACTAGAATGATGATAGTGACTTTGCCGCTATTATAACCTCATTGTTTGTTACCCAGTTTATATAGGCCTTCCTAAATAATTAGGTCTAGGCCTGGGTATTTGTGCGTGTAGTCTTTGTTTTTGTGTCTTTTTTTTCCGTATTAAACAACGACACAGTCTATTCCCTCACCTTCAGTCGGTCAACGACGAAGGCCAATGAATAATGAATAATAATGAATATTTTGATCCTTGAAAGAGCTGTAAAATAGCCTATATTAAGAAAATGTAATTGAGCCTAGATAAACAACTAATGATTGCTATGTGTCTATATTAACTTTGCAAATGAAAATACAATAATCTTACTTTGTGCTTATTGCTTATTGGTAGCCGCTTACCATACCTTGATTTTGTACTAAGAACTGAGTAACAATATGCATTAAAGATTTTTTTTTCAAAAGTAGTCGAGAGCCTAATGTTGTGCCAGGGCGAATCATGCCAAATTAATCCGCTTGGATCGGATAAGCTATGTTATGAAGTTTACGTGACCGATGGAGATATTTGTCGCTATCGCAGGAGACAATGATTGCGTTTCTCTGTTACAATATAAAAGCTTTACCTAAAGTATAGGTAGGCCTATGCTTGTTTACTTTCAATACATTTCTATTTTGAAATGTTTAACTCAGGAAAATTATTCGGTAGGCCTAATGACACCGACAAAGGTTACGGCAAAGTGTCCTTAAATATACGGGAATTGTCCATGAATTTTTTTCCAGAATGTAGTAGACACCCTGATGTTTCATTGCATCTCTGATTCTACTCTACAAAAATATCAACAAACAAATTAATATACAAACCAGTTCTTTTCATCAGTTCCATCGTCCATTGCCTTTACATTTTTACACTTACCATCGAGTAAACATAGTAACAGATATATCATTGATTTTAGAAATAAAAGAACACTGTGTACTTCTTAGTTTTATGATGTTTTCCTTGGTTTAATTTAATCAGTGTTGTGGCAAAATACAAATAATAAATGTATCAAATAAAGTAAATGTGAACTGAAAGCTATGTTAAGATAAAATAAGAGTATTTTGTATTACCATTTGATAATTAAATATGGTTACACATATACAACTGATTTTAGAAAACAAAAATCAACGACGTACAATTTAGTTATTGGTGATATTCTTTAGTTTAATTAAATAAGGCATAGGTTTAGCAAAACATAATAACTTAATTTACCTAAATATACATATAAAAAACAATGTGATGTGCAAGTTATGTTAAGTTAATCTAACACATTTTAAGCAGTTAGAATTTATTTAAAGTAGCCTCCAAATTCATACAAAACATCTATAGGTACATTGTAATTTTCATACTATTTCCATGAGAACATATCAATAACATTATTTTCATAGCTTAGACGCTTTAAAAAATCCAAAGCAGAGCCGGAGTTGATACAGCAACGGTTATAGAATCTTTTTTTTTTTATAATCATTGACATAGTTTTAGAATAAATAATCCATGATAAAAGGTTAGATTAATAAACCTACTTCATAGTTATGGATCATATATTTAATTTCTTTGTATCAGCTGTCTGTAATTGTTAAATATGCAGTTTAGCAGTTCTTCTTGTTTACATTTAAATGTCAAAGCAAATGTAAACAAACATTGTTAGTGTTCTCATCGCAGCCATGGAGACCAATCAATATTTACTTTCAAAATGTTCACCTCAGAACTTTTAAAGCCAAAGGGGCAAAGCCTACGGTCAGTATCGAAATGTGAATAGTCCTATAATGGTCCTTGGTATGATAGCTATATTTATGTAAAATTTAAGCCCAGTTGGTTCAGTAGTTTTTGCACCTATTAGTAACACACATACAGACAGACACCATTAGATTTTTATATAATAGTATAGATGCAAGACACTGTTTGCCTCTCTGCCATAAGACTACTCATGATATAGGATGAAACTTCTTTATATCTTTATTTTGAAGTGTTAATATGCCTAAAAACCACTTATAATACTTTTATACCAAAAAAAGTATAATTTAGTGGAATTTAATGATGTGTCGAAACCGAATCTCAAATCTCAAAACTATCAAAACTTTGTAAATGTTTCTGATTCAATTGGCGAGTTTAATGGATACAAACGTCATTCATTTTTCCTGTCTGCTCTCAAAATATTGTGCACTATCCATCAATATTCTTATAAGGGGAAAACTGAAAAAAATCAAACTTATTATTTGGTATTTTACATTCCACAAATTGTAGATAAATTTACATAAATAGATAAAAAATTTTAATTGTTATTTACATGTTTCAATACAATTTTGAGCTGGATAACACAAAATAAATGTTGACCACTTTTTTGTATTACTGCTGTACCGGTATACTGTTAGTTAAATTCACATTAGTGTTCATAATTTATTTTGTTTTAGTGTTAGTTATTTATAACAAAAAATGCTGTTTCTTCCAAGTGTACTAGTAACATAACGTTTTCTTTTTACTTTACTTGGTATTATGCTGTTATGTCAGGGCCAGGAGTACAATTTCTTTTATTTTCGATTGCATAAGAAACATTATACAGGGTGTATACCAACCAGGAAAACCGGGAAAACCCCTTAAATTTGAAGGGACCTGGAAAAAGATGGGATTTTTGGAGCAATTCCTGGATTTTTATTTTAGCCCTGGTAGACGACGATAATGTTTGCAAACCACGGGAGCCATCCAGGGTTTTACAGCCATTGCAGAAAACTATGATGACGTTTCCATGACCGCAGGAGAAGTCCAGGATTTTGCTGTGATCGTGGAAGACTATTATAACGTTTCTATGACCATGGGAGACAAAGATAATGTCTACATACCGCGGGAGATGTCTAGGATTTTGCCGCTATTGCAGATGATCGTGAAAATGTTTCCGTGACTGCGGGAGAGGATGATAATTTCTACATACCGCGGGAGATGTTCAGGATTTTTCCGCGATCATGGAAAACTGTGATGATGTTTACGTGACCGTGGGAGACAACGATAATGTCTACATACCGCGGGAGATAGGATTTTCCCGCAATTGCAGGTGACCGTGATAATTTTTCCGTGACCACGGCAGACGATGATAATGTTTGCAAACTACAGGAACCATCCAGGGTTTTGACGGGATCACGGAAAACTATGACGACGTTTCTGTGACGCAGAAGACGACGATAATGTCTGAAAACCACAGGAGACGGTCAGGATTTTGCCGTGATCGTGGAAAACTGTGATGACGTTAACGTCACCGCGGGAGATGTTCAGGATTTTGCCGCAGATGATGTTTTCATGAACAATGGAGGGAGATGATATTCATGACTTTGCTGCCATTGAAAGAGACAATTTTTTCGTTACCTTAAGTGAAGATGATAACAAAAATTATTACTATAATAAGGTTTATTATTTGTTTAACACTAGCTGACTGAAATTTGGCACAATAGAAATATACAAATGTGATGTATGTTGATGTATACTAACTTAAGCTTCAAGTCTTAAATTGGTTGTAGTTTAAGTGGACGAATAACAGTCATAATTTCTGATGACTTTAAAATATTCGACTCAAAGATTATGGAAATACTAAAGATTTACAAAATAGATCGATATAATCAACATTTATTGTAAATAGTGTTTTCTACAAAAAATAGCCTTACTCATAGCTGCATTGGGTTTCTAGACACATTGTGTGTCCAAAAGCCAGCACGACTCCCTTCCCCATACCACCCTGAGCGATAGGGATCATTGAGATTCGCTCTAACCCTTCCTCTCCCCTTCATGGGCAAGTTTTCATACCTTTTCTTTCATAGTTTTTGTTTTTTTCTTTTTTTAAATTTTAATGCCTGTATGTATCCTTTGTCTTTTCCTATTTCCCTAGCTACTTTTCTAAACGTCTCAATTGCTTCCTTGTCACTCATCATGTTTTATTTTCTCATCTCTAGGCCTATCTTATCCAAGACATATTCCTGTTCTCACTTATTTGTCTCCTGAAGTGAGCAATTTACAAATACATGACTCGTGGTTTTTATTTCTCCACATCTACATACTTCCTCTTCCACCTGGTGAAATCTTCACAAAATTGCCTTGAAATTTTCAATGTCCTGTGACAAACTGCGTTTCATAATGGCCCATCTCCCAATCTTGTTCCAGTCTCTTTCTGATGTTAGGTATAAATACGATCGTTTACCTTTAAAACGTTAACATAGAACACTCTGCTCCCAACGCATTTGCCACTCATCTAATATCTTCTCTCTTCTGTTTTCAAATTTGTCCTACCCTCCTCCTTGTCTTCCAAAATCAACAGATTATGCAGCGATCATCTAACAGTCCTAAATTGAATGTGAAATCTTCTGGTGACTGTTGGAGAGCACACTTAAACCCAGCACGGAAGGGTGCTTGCTGTATTCGGCTATCAACGACAATAGTATTATTTGTATTTCGATCGCGTCTACCAGTTAAAGTTCGTCGGCCTCCTCCTATTGGCCGTCCTGGTCAACATCTTATAGTCTCCATTGACGTTTTTTTTTGTTATGTTTTGATTTTGTGCAAAATTTTTGTATAACCATCTGTTTCAAATATTAGTGTCAATTTGAAAGTATTCATCTGTTCAAATATAAACAAACATTTTCTCCCTAAGAATAACATGGGAACTTTCAAGGCCACTGGGGCAGAGCCCTGATGGAATTCCAAAGTTTTTTTGTTTGATGGCAAAACTACATGCTAAGACCATTCTAACGACACCTTGAACATGGTGATCGGTAGCACCACCACTCAAAAACAATTATGAGAAAAATATGCCTAGCGTATTAAAGCTATTTACCTTACAAGTGTAGTAAGAGCATTTTTACATCACGCAGGTGAATGTTGTGCAACGAGTGGAAGCGAGTTTACCTAAGTGATGTAATTTACCTAAGTGATGTAAACACGCTCTTGCGTAACGTGTAACGTACAAGATTTTACCTGACCCGTCAATGTACAGGAGGTTACGAACAATATTTGTCATTATCCATTTCACTCATCTTCTAACAGTAACGTTCATTTACAAACAAAAGCTAGGTTAGGAAAATTCTTCAAAACATAACAATAAAATTCAAGAGCACAGCTGATTTCTAGCGTTGAACGTCGTTGGCTCCATAGAGGTATATTTTTTAAGTTAAGCACTCAATGTTAATTAAATGGGTTTCATTACATCACCGAGTGAGTTTTTTTTTTCAACTTTACATCACTCAAGAAGTAAGGAAGTTGTATACATCACGCTTGGGATAGGGAAGTTTAAGATGGCGGGTTAGATAAAATATAGAGATATTACTAGTATTTTTTGTGCTGTTTACCAGGCTAGTAAAAAGTTTGATGTTAAGCTTTTGAGATTTGATTTTTTAAATTTTTGTTCCACTTTTGAGAATCAAAATTTCTGGTTTTAACCATTACTAGTGTATGTGTTTTTGACTGTAAACTTTTTTACATAAATTTATATAGGCTAGACACTTTTATACATTCACTTTTCAACCTATAATGTTGAATTTGTAGCATTTTCTATTAAAACAAAAATTAAGTTGGTTTAGTACCTAAGACATTATTGTGAAACTGCCAATCATTGTGTCTGTAATAGGCTGTTCCCAGTTTGAAAATGGTCAGAACAAGGAGCTGTTTACATTGCCTCTTGAACTGAATAACCCTATCTATCAAATTGCGAGCAGTGAAGGTAAGGTTCACATTTAACTTAAAGTACGGTAGTGAATATTTCATTAAGCCACATAAAAGAGTTAGTAGTACAAATTATGGTCAAAATACATTTTGAAGCCAAGTTAAATTACAAAATATTCCTAATATATTCAATTGTTTGATAAAAATTAAATTAAACATAAATAACAAATTATAAATACATTTCCACACATGGAAACTATGTATAAAAAACACCAATTAAGAACCCGATAATGCAACTTGGTGTATGAAAGTTTGTCAAAGTCATTTTTTTATTTTATAAATTTACCGTTCAGATAAGAAAAAACCTAATAGGTATCATAATTTTCTTAACTATTTATATTAAACAGCACCATCAGTGATTAATACTTCCTATGTTTGATTTTTACCATTCGAGACACAATAGACAATAGACAATAAATAGATAATTCCTTTATTACAATTTCATCAAGAAATGTTACATACAGCGTCAAATTTAAATAAATAACATTGGTATAATAGATACAAAGTGAAATGGAAAAGCTTCTTCAGTGTTGTGTGTGGTCTTGCCATGCAAAGAACTCCTTTGGGACGGGTGTAGAAAGCTTTGTCTAGCAGCCATCTCCGTAGCTTCCTCTTCAAATCAAATCAAATCATCTTTATTCCAGAGACACAAATTGTGAAAAGTACAATAGTGTATAGGCTGCGTCAACAATATATAACATAACTTCAAACTTAAAACTTATCTAAGGTTGAGGCAAAATAATCTTCTAATATTTTATAAAAACAGTTTTTTAGAAGAATTCTCTTGATGGCTACTTTAAAAACATTTAATGGTAACTTTTTAACTTTAACTGGTAACTTGTTGTACAATTTGGCCAACATCAGCACAGGGCCTCCAATTTTCAAGTGGTCTGGTAGCTTGTTTAGCATCTTCACTCCTGCGTACAGTGGTTTATTTTCAAACATTGTGTTCTGTGGCCAGGCAGCACATAGTTTCCTGCATATCTGGTGTGGTATTCATGTATATCTCTTTGTTTAGGCGGGTCTTTGATTACACAGTAATAAACAGTTTCTAGGATGTAGATGGAAGTCACCGTCAGGATGTTCAGGTTTTTGAAGGCATCTCTACAGCTTTGTTATACTAATGCCTGCTATTATTCTGATAGCCCTTTTCTACATAACCAGGACCCGGTTAAGATTGTCCATAGTGGATCCACCCCAGACAGTAATACCATAGCGTATATGGCTTTCAAACAATGTATGGTATGCAGTCCTCGTTGCCTCAGGGGTACTAGTCTCTTTGATTTGTTTTATGGCAAAGCGAGCTGGCCCGAGTTTTTAGCAAAGACAAGCTACATGACGATCCCAGGATAAATTTTCATCAATTATGACACCTAGATGTTTGATTTCTTCAGCTGCTGTCAGGTTGGGCATTTCAGATACTGTAGACTTTTTATTTCCAAAAGTAATTTGCTTGGTCTTACTTTCATTGAGGACTAAGTCATTTTTCATACAGTAGTCCTGTGTCATATTGAAAGCTATATAGGTGTTTACTTCTAGTTGATCTATGTTTATGTTTGCTGTAAGCAGCACAGTGTCGTCTGCATACATGACCATCTTGCTGTATTCCTCAAGGTGTTCCGGGAAGTCATTAATAAACAGGCCAAACAGAACTGGCCCTAGGACAGAGCCCTGGGGAACTCCTCTGTTAGTCGGTAGCAATTCAGATCTGACAGTATCTGTAAGCCCTTTTGTTGTGTGTTTTATTTCTACCATTTGGCTTCGCCCTTTTAGATAACTTGCAAACCATTTCAGAGCTGTTCCCTGGATTCCTAAATTTTGAAATTTAGTTAGAATAAGATCATGTCCCAAGGAATCAAAAGCCTTGGTTAAGTCAAGATACAGGCTGGTGATAGTGTTGCCATTTTCTATGTTCTCAATAATGATATATTCAACAAGATCTATCAGAGCAGTTGTGGTTGATTTTCCAGGAACAAACCCATGTTGGCTGTTTGTCAATGCTTGGTTTTGACTAAGATGCTCCTGGATTCTTACTTTTATAATCATCTGAATTAATTCAGAAGAGAAAGGAAAGAGGCCGCCAATCTCTTTAAAATAAAAAAATTGAAGAATGTAGTTTGTGGATGATAATAATTAAAATTATATTTATTATTGACTTAATTAGTTTTTTCAAAGACCCTTATTATCCTAAATAACTGACTCCTAATAAAATTATGCTCATTAGTCAATGTATGGCAAATTTTTTATATCCCTTAAAAATGTTCACCAAACCTGCATAGCTGGAAAAAAATTGAAGATTGTCAAGGTTTATACAGAACTTAAAAAAATAGTACGATGCATATTGTAAGCAAAACTCGCTCACAAATGTATTGTAATAAAAAAATCTGTAAGCTTAAGTGAGTTAGCAAACTTATTTACTGTCTCTATAGTTCTTACAGTGTGTTATTTATATGTTTTTTTTTTTACAAAAAAGGTTTACTATAGGTCGGCCGCTTAGAAAGCGACCTCCTCTAGCATTGGTTAGCATTAGCGCTCTGGTCGCTTTCTAAGCGGCCGACCTATATTATTACATTGACATTTGTTGCAGCTGGTGTGGTGACCAGGCAAAAATCTTGCGTTAATTTGTTTAATATTTGTCAGTCAGAAGATAAGCTGCTCCTAAATAAAATTCACACGGTGTCAAATAAAAGGGACTCATTTGTGAGTGTCGCCCTACAAGACAAATCAAATGAGAAATACTGTACACTCTCTAGCAGTGGCATTCTGAAACTCTGGGACGTTGAGTACTCCAAGTATGTTCCTTATCATTCAATACTAATTGTAGAATTACAATACTCGTATAATAGTTACCAGTTTGATCCTGAAAGAAAATTTTTTAGATTTGTGATGGTTTGAAACTGGACCCAGATGGACGTAGTCAGTACCAAAGCTACACCACATCATGAAATATCACCTTATTCTACCTACACCCATTCTTCACTCATATTTGGGTTAAAACATGCACCTAAGCTGTGTCCCCATCTCAATTAGGCAATACTAATAATTTAATTAACAATACCAGATTTTGCAGGCTGGGTGGCAGAGTAATGTAATGGGATATTTTTAATACAGGGTGATTCAAAATGAATGACCCAGTTTTAACGCTTTATAACTTTTATACTATTAAACTTACCGCTATAAAATACACATCAAACGAAAAAGCAACTCAAAGAGTTTATGTCTTCCAAAGACACATCATTTAACAAAATCGATCCAGCAGAACTGTAGATTTAATTGTACAAAGTTAACCCTTTGAGTGCCAACGTCCGGGGAACCGGACGTTTTTAAAACGAGCCAAAAGTGCCGACGTCCGGCCGACCGGACGTTTTTAGAACGAGCCAAAAGTGCCAACGTCCGGCTGACCGGACGTTTCGTAATGATCGAACAGTTGTCATAACAACCGAATGGATACTCGGATTCTTTTAACCCATATATTAACATTGAGTCGAAAGTTACTAGATGCGATACATCGATTTTCGTTGGTCGAAATATCGAAAATTCGATTTTTACAAAATTTTAACCTAAAAATCGCCAGATCGCGCTCGGCATTTTTAGCGCGACCTTCGGGAAAAATCATCGGCATTTTTTGAGCGTTACTTTTATTTCTCGCCTGGCACTCTAAGGGTTAAAAAGTAATCTCAAAATTTTTTTACCACTAGAAATTTGGAGGTTACTTGACGTTTTTGCAAATAACTTTTAAATGGTGAGGAAATCGACCAAAGTGGAAGGTAATATTCCGAAAGAGAATAAAATTTCATACAATCTACTATTATGCATTTCTTGAAAATACTCAATAAATGTAGCTTAAATTTGGCTTAAAATAAAAAAATTGTGAAATTTAATGTTTGCTATGTTTATTGTCTACATTAAAGACGGGGATTTTCAATTTTTCTTTCATTTTGAGGCAATTTTTGGTACCTTTCTTGAGTATTTTCAAAAAATGCATAATAGTAGATTTAAGGAAATTTTATTCTCTTTCGGAATATTACCTTCCATTTTGGTCAATTTCCTCACCATTTAAAAGTTATTTGCAAAAACGTCAAGTAACCTCCAAATTTCTAGTGGTAAAAAAAGTTGGAGATTACTTTTTAACTTTGTACAATAAAATCTACAGTTCTGCTGGATCGATTTTGTTAAATGATGTGTCTTTGGAAGGCATAAACTCTTTGAGTTGCTTTTTCGTTTGATGTGTATTTTATAGCGGTAAGTTTAATAGTATAAAAGTTATAAAGCGTTAAAACTGGGTCATTCATTTTGAATCACCCTGTATTTGGTAATTTATTCAGTATATTAACTAACCAGGGACGTATTTAACTATCTGCCGCCTCTAGGATGCGAAGATAGCTATCCCCTCCCCCACCCTCCTCAGCGCGCTCACCGACCACAATATGATTAACCCAATACCTACATGCCCTGCCAGCTGTTTTTGTAGAAAAGTAATCGGCGATTGCATGCTGCATCAACAAATCTAATACCATTTTGAGCCCTCTTTTACAGACATTTTTGTTTCCCTGTTTTCGTGCAAAAGGCGATTCTGTTTTGCATACATGGAATGCAATGTTGTTGTAACCAATCAGAAGAGTCATAACGTCATAATCGTGTTCAATAAAAAACGTCCGTATACAAGGATTCTTATAACGCTTTTTATTGAACACTTTTAGTCGGATATACATTACAATCACATATACTTTTATTTACAAAACTGTTAAACTTTGAAACTAAAGTTGATCTAACTAAACAAAAAGGCGAAAAAAGTGGATCTGAAAGAAGCGAAATATCAAGTATTATTATGTGTGTTTTTTTTTACTCGTCTGCAACCTTTCATCATGTGAGTTAGCTGTGTCCTCTCCATCCCATACATTTATTATATTAGTAAGATTTGTAATATTAGTAAGATTACCTGTCAATGTCATACGCGTTGCTGCTGCGTAGTAACTAATGATAGCAGGGGGAGGTAGGCCTACACTACGCATACGCAGCGGCCGGCAGCCCACGCCCATGAGGAGCAACGTGTCCGCCAGACCGACAGGGAAGCACGGAAAACAGGGCACAGCCATATAATAAATTATCATCTTTGACTTTAATGTGTTCTGAAACCATTTTATACTCAATCAAAGTATTTAAAATAGCATTTTTGCAGTTCTACAAATTAATTTCTCAACATTTAGATTTCTTTTTATTACAAAACTTTGCTGCTCTAGGCGCGCACCTAGTCTGCCTAGTCGGATATATGTCCCTGTAACTAAAAATGTATGTGATCCACCTGGTAAAACACCAAACCTCCACAAATCATTGCTGTTCAGTATTGAAATGAAATAAGTAGTTTACCCTATTTTATACTTGGAATAGAATCGTAACTTAGTTGTTAATTAAATTAGACAGACTAACCGATGTCATAAAGGATGACCGTTGAAAACCTAACAGAATTGTTATACAAATTGTCACAAAAATCCGTAGTGGGCTATGCAGGACCAGATTCTATATACAAAAATAAGATGAAAATAAAGAATAACATTTTCCCCAAAAACGCTTTTTTTACCAGATATCCGCCATTTGGTATTCTTCACATAAACACCTTTGTCTTTAAACTTTTCCAACTGATCCTTATGAAACTTGGTATGTAGGTTAAGGTAGAATAGACCCATGTGAGACAAAAAAATGTTCTCGGTCCAATACAAAATTTCAAAATGGTGCGACCATTTTAATTTTTCATAAAATAAGCCATTCTATGGTACCTAATTTAAATTTTTTAATTAAAATGGCCACCATTTTGAATTTTTGTATTGGATCGTCTTAAATATTTATTCTGTCTGTTCTATTCTCTGGGATGGTGTTAGACCATCGTTATTTTAACTCTATATTTATAATTGTTATTGTATGCCTACTCTTTCATTATGTTTTTAAGGAAAGCCAAGTGGCTGGTTGAGAATCATTTTTAAAAGGGTTAGAGATTAACTAGCTTACCTGAGATACAAATAAGAGTCCAGGGTCTGATAGATACACAAATAAAATATTAGAAAACTTAACACTGATACACTTGTTCATAGAATAGATTGAAATGTTTAGTCTGATTGCTGTGCAGTGGCTACAAGATGAAGATGAAGGTAGCTCCTGGGGAGGGAGTACATGTGATGGACAACTGGAGCTCCATACAGTTTGTGGACAACAAAACTCTGCTGCTGGCGGACAGATGCTGCATACACTTGCTGGACTGCAGAGTTAGTACTTTGTAGTCAAAACTATCTGCTAAAATAATAATTTTACCCATTCACCAAACTTGCAAACTGTCCTCACGTTTTGCTAATTTATGTTTTTGTGAGCAAAAGGTTTTAACGAAAGGGAACTAATAAAAAGTGAAAAAACAAAAAAATTGTAAGACTAAAAATAAATAAATAAATAAATAATTCTTTATTGTCACATTACGTTTTAAATCATAGCAAAGCTAAAAAACAGATGACATTGTCAAGATTAAAAACTAACCTAAAATATACAATTATATGTCTTATGCACTAAAATACCCTTAAAAAAGATGTAAAAATTTGCTGAACAATAAAATTAAAAAATGAATTTCCTTGAATATTAAGAGTAAGACATATAAGAACTTTATACAAAATAAACGTCATATTGTTTCATTGGTTTCGTTTAGGTATTCATTTACACTGTAATATGTTTTACTAGTCAGAAAATCAGCAAGGCTGCTTTTAAAAGATTTATTATGAATTAAAGTTTTTAGAGTTGTGGGTAGGTTATTAAAAAGCTTTTTCCCCATATATTTAGGAGTTTTTTCTACAAGTTTCAAACGGTGTCTCGGGTATTGAAAATTATTCTTAAATCTGTTGTTATAAATGTGGTCAAAGTTATCACTAATATAGTCATCAAAATTTGACTGCACCGCTAACAATGTTTTGTAGATTATTAAATTTGGAATAGTCATAATATTCAATTTTCTAAAAACTGTCTTGCATGAAGATTTCCATGGTAAAAAGGTCATGATTCTTATAATTTTCTTTTGAATTTTAAAAACTCTTTCAATTTCAGAGGAAAATCCCCAAAATGCAATTCCATATTGTGCTATTGAGTAAAAGTATGCATAATAAAGCATGATAGAAGTTTTTAAATCTATGGAATTTCTTGAGCACAATATTTGAAAACAAGCTGAATTTAATTTTCCAATTACTGACTGAATGCACTTACTCCAAGTCAAATGTTTATCAATATACAGCCCTACAAATTTTACATTATCATCAGTTGGTTGGGATTGATCAATGATTGCAACTGATTGAGGTGTACAACATCTTACAAATTTGGTTTTCTCTTCATTCATTTTCAAACCATTGATCTCAAACCACTTTCCCAATTCGGTTAGACTTTCTTCAATTTTATGTTCTAATTCATCATTGTTTTTTGTTTTAACTACTGCTGTAGTATCATCTGCATAGAGAATTATATTATTTGTAACATTTTTTGGAAGATCATTAATATATATAAGAAATAGAAGTGGCCCCAAAATCGAACCTTGAGGCACACCCTTTTTAATTTTTTGCCATTTCATTTTGATTTTGCTTTTAAATTATCCTTACAAATTACTGTTCTCTGATGGCGATTAGTTAGGTAGGATTTTAACCATGATACTGAATTTACAGAAAAGGGATATAATTCAATTTTTTTAATGAGTATATCATGATTGACACAGTCAAACGCCTTGGATAAGTCACAAAACACACCCATTGGGCTATGTGACCCATCCAAGGCCCATGACACCTCCTCAACCAAGTCTGAGAGCGCTCTCATGGTACCTAGACCCTTTCTAAACCCAAACTGCTTGTTAGAAAAAATATTGTGGGTTTCCAGAAATGAAGATATTTGATACGAAGCACATTTTTCAAAAACTTTTGAGAATGCTGGTAAAAGTGAAACCGGACGATAATTGTCTCTCTCCATTTTTGAAAAGCGGTTTTAGTTCAGCATATTTTAAGTGTTCAGGAAAAATACTGTTGAGGAATGATTGGTTTATAATGATAGAGAGTGGTTCTGCAATGAATTTAGAAGCAATTTTGACCAAATTTAGTGGTATTTCGTCCAAGCCTGACGACTTCTTGTTCTTAAAAGATTTAATAATTTTAATAACATCCTTCACGTCTATAAATTGAAAGTCAAATTTTGTGGTCTGCTTTTGATCTATTGATTTTATTGTAAGTTGTACTGCCTCACTTTCAGAACATGAAAATCCAATTTGATTTGTTATATTTATAAATTTGTTATTAAAATATTCTGCAATTTCCTTTGAATTTGTAATGGATTTGTCAGCCACCTTGATATTGGGAAAAGTAGGCTGACTCTTTCCCAAACCTAATTCAGTTTTGATAATAGCCCAAGCAGCCTTACTTTTATTTTCTGAGTCTTCTATAAATTTAGCATTACATGATTTCTTTGATTTATTACACACTTGCCTAAAAATCTTTCTGTACTCTTTAACATAGTTGATGAAGTCGATATTATTTGACTCTTTAGCCAGTCTGCTAAGTTCTCTTTTTCTTATACTAGATATTTGAATACCTTTAGTAATCCAAAGTTTCTTTTTGTTTAAGTTTGTGTTACTATAAAACTTGAGAGGAAATGCTTCATCAAACTTGTTCTGGAAATTTTGAAAAAAAATTGAACAGTTAATTTCAAAACAGTTGTTAACAGATACTTCCCACTTGGTAGCTTGTATAATATTTAAAAATATATCGATATTTCTTTTTGAAAATATTCTTTTCTTACATTTTTTATTTCTAATTTTTTTATATGACTTATCCATTTTACTTGAAATATTCATAAATAAGGCCCTATGGTCCGAGAGACCCAACTCTAAATTCATTGTAACTGGCGATTGAGATTTTATTTCAGATGTTAAGATGTTATCGATACATGACTTAGATGAATTTGTAATTCTGGTAGGTTTGTAAAAATTGCATTTAAATCCATACTGTTTTCACAAAGAAATAAAGTCTGATTTTTGTCTAGTTTGGCTACAGTCTTGTAAAATGTCTACATTGAAATCTCCTGTAATATAGATATCATTTGTTTTTGTAGCTTTTGTTAAAATTTGCAATAAGCTGTGAAATTCTAGGGGGGGAATAAACTAGTATTCACCAAGTCAGGCTAGGGCTACCCCTAGAACTGGCCACACTCAAATTTCTTCCCCGGAGTGCTCAGAAGGAGCCGAGAAAAATCCAGGGGTCGATACGAAGTTGTCACGGCTTTGACTGATCAATTTATTAAAATTTAATCGAAGGCTCAGAGCTCTAGAAGCGCTCAGGAAATCCTGCAGACGCCCAGTTGGAGCTAAATCATCCCAGCCTTTGTAAAAGTGTTTTGGAGAATTTTGCCTAACTTTTGGAATGACTCTGTAGGGCCGACGAGTATTCAATCTTAAGCCAATGTGATTCAATTACTCGTAATGAACTTTAAAATAATGAACTAAAGGCCTAGGTAAATAAAATAGAAAGTAATATGATGTAAAACCCAATCCCTACAGAATCGTCGAGGCCTAATTAATATGATCGAATGGAGAATTTATCGTGGGATGATTTAAAATAGATTTAATATTAATATTCGTAGCTGTTTGATTGTTCAAATCAGCTGCTCCCAAGACTTGATTCTTTCACCCGCCAAAGTCGGTTTTAGAACTTAGATGACAAGTCTCGGGGTATTAAACGTCGAATCGATTAAAATAATTTAAGTAATAATTCGTTAGGCGAACTAAACAAACGTAATTTCGTGGACAATTAATTTAATACGAGCCGAAAGATATCCACCTCTAGTCACTGACCGGCAGGAACTGGCGGGTCAAGACTCCAATCGTTAATAAAATTTAGACAAATATAATCAAACTTAAAACGGGCGAAAATAAGTGGCAGACGAGTATATGTATGTTAAAATAAATTAAAATAAAATGAACGTTAGAAAGTCTATCAACGAAGTTAGCTAACCTGAATCAATAACGTAGAATCGTATGGCGTGATCGTAATTTCGCAAGAGCTCCTCGTGAACAAGTCGACGGTTGAACAGCGAATCATCTTGTCCGGCTCAAATCATGATTTCCTCGGTTGAGGCTTAATCGCTCTGGTGGTGAGTTTGAGAACTAGCCAACAGCTGATCGGAAATTCACCTGTTGAGCCGGTCTAGTTGTCGTCTGTCGTTTCGTTGGTCAACAAACACCATTTCGAGGTTAAGTGATGTTGTCATCGGCGTTAAATATTTGTAAAATCGGTCGTTTTAACTTTATTATGTGAAACAAAGTGCTATTATGAATAAATATATCGTTGTGGGTGTGTTTGTGTACTTCACTGTTATTAAAAGTAGGCCTACGTTCTTTGGCCCATAGCCCAAGCTATGGCCAACACATAGGCCTAGGAGTAGAATGTTGTGAATAAAAATCGGGTAAGTTATGGTGTTTGTTGACTAGCAATACGTTTTTACCCCCCTTAAAATTTGGTACCTCACAAAACTCTCTAATTTGTAAAGAAAAGTTTTAAAATTTGCAACATTTGGTGTTTTATAAACAGAAACTACAATAATATTTAAACTTTCAATTTCAATACAAGAAACTTCAAAGACCGAATCTTCATTAAAAACGCACAAATCATTCCTTATCCTGTATTTCAAATTTGAACTTATCATTATGCAAGAACCCCCATGGGTCCCCTCTTCCCTACAATAAAAATGAGCCAGAGTGTAGTTTGTAAAACTATTTAGAATGCCAATATTATCATTACCAAGCCAATGTTCATTTAAACAAATAATTGAAATGTTAGAATTTTCTAAAATTAATTCCAGTTCATTTTTTTTATTAATTATCCCTCCTTCAATGTTTAAATGCATTAGCCACATAAAATCTTTGTTACACTTATCATTTTTACAAACAGGCCAGGGGTCGATTTGGTTATGACTGGAAGTATCTGTGTTAGAATTATGATAGCTGTTACATATACATGACTCCTTAATTTCTATTGCTAAGTTAAATCTATTGTTGGACCTATTGTAATGTTTTTTTTGTTTTGGATATGTTACTGATGGAGTAGGAGAGCAGATGTCGGAAAGAGCTGAACTTGTGGCGATGTCAGTAACTGTCGATTCTTTAAGATTGTGTTCTTGTGATGCTTGATGAAGCCTTGCATTATAATTATGCTCCGTGAACAACTCATCAAGACGCCTCAAAAGCTCAGTGTGTGAA